TTCTATAACCTGAAGAAGCCATCCTTCAATTAACTACAATTCTAAATTTTCCCAGGGTATCTGTTTTTGCTTTCCAGAATTGATATAAAGCTGATAATGTACAAACAAATAATTTGCACCTATTGCACCTGGGCCTTGCAAAAGAAACTGGAAGAGCAATATGACTCCAACTCCAAATCACCTATGCTATTTTCTAAAGTACACTGACTATGCCTCTCATTTTGATGAGTTACTCAGCAGGACTTGCTTACTCAAACAGTCAGACTTACTGAAAAATGTTCAAAATTCCTACCATTTCAATGATTGTTATTTTATCTAGTATATATTTTCAAAATTCACAGAAATTATATGTATCAGATTTTTCCAAGTAAAATTTGTATCCATGAGGGAATATTTTCTAACATTTGGGGAATAGTTATTATAAATAATAACTATTCTATTATCTTTACAGAGAATAAGAGATGAAGCGGCAAGCAATTCAAATAACTGAAACACAGAGTAAGAAATCCATTTTAAAATTATTCTTGGTTATCAATTTAAGGTCTTAAATGGGTTTGTTTTTTTTTTTTTAAGACAGAGTCTCACTCTTTTGCCCAGGCTAGAGTGAGTGCCGTGGCGTCAGCCTAGCTCACAGCAACCTCAAACTCCTGGGCTCAAGCGATCCTCCTGCCTCAGCCTCCCGAGTAGCTGGGACTACAGGCATGCGCCACCATGCCCGGCTAATTTTTTCTATATATTTTTAGCTGTCCGATTAATTTCTTTCTATTTTTAGTAGAGACGGGGTCTCGCTCTTGCTCAAGCTGGTTTCGAACTCCTGAGCTCAAACAATCCGCCCGCCTCGGCCTCCCAGAGAGCTAGGATTACAGGCGTGAGCCACCGCGCCCGGCCTTAAATGGGTTTTAATTATTGAAAACAAAATATTATTGTCTTAGGCTGTTTGTGCTGCTATAACAAAACACATGATCCTAGGTAATTAATAAACAATGGAAATTTATTCCTGACAGTTGTAGAGACTGGGAAGTCCAAGATCAAGGTGCCAGCAGGTTTGATAGCTGGTAAAGGCCTGCTCCTCAAAGATGCACCATGTAGGCGTTCTCGTATGGCAGAAGGGACAGAGAGGGCAAAGGGGATGAACGCTGTGTCTTCGCGTGGAAAAGACCATCTGCACTTTAAAGCAAACAGACGGCTCTGCCCTGTCCACCCCACTAACCCCAAAGGTACTTCCGGTGACTGAGCAAATGGGGCTCCCTGAAATCAAGCAACAAATGTCCACACCTTCTCTGAAACCCCCACCCATCCACAATGCCTTGCCAATGCATTTTTTCTCAAGTCTAACTTCAATCTCCTTTTACTGATATTCAACCATTACCTTCCATTATGGCAGGGAAAATTCCTTTCATCCATTTATTCACTCAACAAACTTTTCTTGAGCGCCCATCATATCTTAGATATCTGGATATACAAAGACAACCTATGCCCTGCCCTCAAGCAGCTTGCAGTTGAATTTTCTTTTTTGAGACAAGGTCTTGCTCTGTCACCCAGGCTGGAGTGCAGAGGCACAATCATCTCACTGCAGCCTCGAACTTTTGGGCTTAAGCGATCCTGTTGCCTCAGCCTCCCAAGTAGCTAGGACTACATAGGTGCATACTACCATGCTCAGCTTATTTACAGATTTTTTGTAGAGACAAGGTCTCACTATGTTGCCCAGGCCGGTCTTGAACTCCTGGCCTCAAGCAATCTTCCCGCCTCAGCCTA